GTAAACAAAGTAGCTCCACTTGTCAGCATGTTTTTCCTTTTATGCTATGGAGTGACTAATCTGGCTTGTTTTGCTCTCAAAGTTGCCTCTGCTCCCAATTTCAGGTACCAGAGTACAAATATACTCAAGCAATGCTTTTTTACTGGTTGCTCAACTGGTTTAATAACTAATTTGTGCTCTGATGTTGATAATAATATTACTATTTCAATTTGCCTATAGGCCAACCTTCAAATATTTTTCTTGGCAAACAGGTAATTCTATATGATATGAAATTTCTTATGAAATAAAGAAATTTAAGGATTGGAAATGGTATTATGAGTAAAATGAGTATATTGTATATTGTTCATAGCCTGCATAGTGGCACCACCCTCCATTTCTGTTTTCCATTTCCATTTCCATATCTTATGTTGGACTTTCCTTGGGTGCAAAGTCATAATTAATGATTAATTGGTGAATTAATTATGTTTTGTTGTTTTAGCCTTATTTGGAGGTTTGTTTTGCTTTGTCATAATGTTTCTCATCGATCCTCTGTATGCTGCCATATCACTAGGTCAGTGGTTTCATATTCCCAAAGACATTTTGTTGTATGTTTGAAACATTTCAGGGAAGATATTATTGAGTGAATAATTTATTGATTTCTGCATCAGATTTTAATTTATCCAGTTGATTAATTAATCAAGCTAGTTCATTTTCTCTTTAGCTCTTATGATCATTCTGTTTGTGGTGATCTCTCTACGTGCTCCTGTCACACCATGGGGTGATGTATCACAGGCTCTTATATATCATCAGGTACCCTGATTCTAAACCATCTTACCTGGAATACTGATTTATCTAAGAATTTCCAAATTAAAGGTAGCTGACACTAACTAATCAAATCAAAGGAGATCAGTTATTGCTTAGAGACTTGTAGCTGTTGACCATTGAGAAACCCACCATATATATGCCATCAAACAATCATTTAGACTTCAATTTGATCCTAGGTCAGGAAGTATCTCTTACGACTTGATATTAGAAAAGAACACGTCAAGTTTTGGAGACCACAGGTGCCGTACACGAATAAACCTTACTGTCTAAGTTGAATCATGTCTCAAGAATTGATCCACTTCTTTATTAATTTATGGCATTGTGGTCCCAATAACTAATAATTTGATTCTATCAACAATTTCAACAGGTGCTGCTGTTAGTGTCCAATCCACGCTCAAGTTACCATCTAATTGATTTTGTTAACGACATTAAAAAGGTAGTCTTTACCATAACTATTAGTCATGATATCTTCATGTTACAATAACTGTATGAATTTCATATAATGCCATTGTTGCTTCTGATATCATTCTTTCTTTTATCTTTCAACTTTAGAGTGGGATGTACATGCTTGGTCACATTCAAGTTGATGAGTTTGGTAACGAGGTAAGTTTTAACGAGAAGTAGACAAAATTCATGTTGRAATGGCAGAATGAATGACTGTAGATTGAAGACATCAAAAGGACTGTTATAGAGTGGCTTATAGTCATTAAATCACTGTATGTTGTGTCTTTTTTTTAAGTCCATAGATCGTCAGAAACGAGAGCTTGCGTCCTGGCTAAGCTTTGTTGATATTGCAGAGATCAAATCCTTTGTTGAAATTACAATTGCACCTACAATACGYCAAGGAGCACAAAACCTTATCATGGTAAGACTGGACAACCTGTCTGTTATCATTGACATCAAGTAACAAGTTTTCGTAATGTCGATTCTGAAGTGAATTTCATAAAACCCTGTAATTTTTTAAACTAGTGYCCCAACCAWATATTTATTGTAGAAAAATCAATTGAATTAACTGTTATTTTTGTTGAAGACTTCTGGTTTGGGAAGTATGAGAGCAAATACTGTTGTGCTAGGTAAGAATAGTGGAAAGAACTGTCTATGTTGAATGTGATGCTATGTTTCATAATGGATCTCGATGTTGAGATACTTTCTTGTCTCAGGTTTCTTTGATGACAGGCTACCGGAGGACAATCTGTCTCTCGGAATTATTCGAAAAAACAAATTTTTCGGACGAAGAAGAGCAGTACAAGGTAACACTAAACAATAAATGGCAAATTGTAGCATTATATATTGTACTTAGATTGCATTTATCTGTTAGATGGTCTCTTCCGTGATGTGCTCAATAGTTTACCACGCCTTAGAGTATCTGTAAGTAGAAATTGCTCAACACTTTTCTGCAATGAAACTTGTAATTGATGTTCACAAACAACTCTCAATGACTGTATTTATTAATTCTCGCGGCCTATTATCAAATTCAGAATTCAGACCAGGAAATGAATCCAAAAGACTATGTTGCGATTATTAAGGTTTGTGATCTCTTTTTTGTTTTTGTTTGTTTGTTGTTGTTTTTTTTTGTTTGTTGTTTTTTTTTATTACAGCCTTGCTTAATATCGTCGAGGTAACTGAATCAAATATTTTACGAGAGTAAATAACAGGATAATTCTCTAACTTAATTCCTCTCAATAGTAACTTACTTCTTTCGCAGGACTGTATTATGATGGGGAAGAATGTTTGTGTCACAAGAAAGTAAGTCCTGAAATTGTCTGCACCAGCTTGCACMGTGCTTTGTAATGAMATAAATCGTATTTCAAYGGTCGWCATTGGCCCACCTCACAAAGGGAAGTTCCCCGGGAATTTCACATTGGTAAAATTGTAAAATAATTCAAACAATTTCATCTAATGACATTGTTAATATATCACTTAGTTTTCAGAATCTAAACAAAAATTACTTAGAGAAAGGTGGATATATAGGTAAGGTTTTTACGCAACGCCTCTCATTCATGATTTCTTTTGTACTCGGATAATTCGAGGTCGTTTTTCATTATCTAGATGTGTGGCCAGTAAGTGCATCTGTTGTTAGGGAAGGTAAGTTGCTCTTCATTGAATCTGTAAATCATCTGAAAGGGAATTTCTTTTAAATGGAATGGAAAAAAACTTTACGGCACTATAATAATTATAGGAATTGCTTTGGTTTTTCTGTAGGTCCTCTAGGTCCGTACGATTTAACGTTCCTATTGATTCTACAATTAAGCTGTATCTTGCATATGGTACCATATTGGGAAAGTCGAACCTCAATCCGAGTATTCTCCGTTACTTGTGGTAAGTTAACCTGCCTCTTCTCAAAKACTCGATTTTTTACGTTTTYCMACAATKTTTTTCTTTCTTTAGAAAATGCAGCTGATGAAGAGCATAACTTGATTAATTTATTAAAAGAACTTCGTATTCCTGCTGAAGTTAGGGTAAAATAAGAACAGTAGTTCTCTTTATTTCGTCATTAGTTTGGGAAATCTGTTTGTATCTGCTTGTTTTGTTCACAAAGGTTTTAATTGTTAACTTTAAACATGATCTTACTTAAGATGGTTCATGCCATTGAAGACTGCGATGTTACAAGAAATGCATCAGGATTTTCGGTCAGTACGCAACATTTCCAATTAATGACATGTTACATGGCGAACAAATTGATATTATTTACATTTTATACAGCCTACAGTTAATTGGTACAGGACAATCAACCACTTGATACGAACTCACTCTAGTGAAGCTTGTAAGTAACTGGGTTGTTGCTAATTGCCACTTGGTTCTTAGATGATATTCAGAGTATATCTGCAGGAGTTTGTTAATCTATATGATTCTTTAGATGTGGTGTTCACTGGGCTGCCTCACCCACCTCAAGATGAAAACATGACAGAGCAGTTTTTACAAGAGTTATCTCTCCTTTCAGGTATCGTATACGGTGAAGTTAAAGTATCTTTTACTATATTAGTTCGCTATCGTTCACTGTCATCTCTTACAATGTTTTTACATAGAGAACATTCCACCCGTCATGATGGTATATGGTCGTTCACCAGTCGTCTCTACATCACTCTAATCCTAACCCTTTCTGTTGGACTAGTGACGGGATGAAAGCATCTGAATGCAAAACGTTTGGTCAAGTTGAGAAAAGACGTCTAATACACTTTCTATTATTTTACAAAAATATTCAATGAACAAGTTGCAATGCACAGTGACGCTGTAAACAATATTTATTTTATTTTTTTCTGGAGTTTTGATTGGAAGTTAATTTCCGCAATTTCAAATAACTCATATCAGAGCGAGGTCGTGTACCAGAGCGGTCTAAAGAGCGCTCACTTCGACGCAACTCAGGGACGTCAAAGATGTCCAGTTTCATAAATTACCGTACAGTTATATGTAATTATTTTTTATTTGCAGCATTCTTAATGAATTTTTTAGAAACGCTAATGCGTGAAAAGAGGTCTAAAATGAAAATCTCTCAAAATACGAATAAAATAGGTAATAATTTAACACACAAAATTTAATGTGCTATGACACGTAGAAATATAAATTGAATTAAATTTGATAGCTATTTATATAAATATTTTTGTTTGATTGAGGAACATTGATTACGTATATAGAAAGATACCTTTATAAGTAAATACTATAGTAATTATGTAAGTGGTATTTGTGAGTAATTATGAAATAAAGCCACGATAATGCTACTTTTATTCAACCCAGCTATTCCCGTTTTATTCAACAATGTAAAGATTATTATCATTATAGATAAATAGAAGAAGAAATTTTAAAAATCTCAATGGGACTCATTCTGAAAAACAACTAACATCTGTCTATTTTTTCTTGAGTCATCCCTCCCTGTAACTCGCTGGATTCGCCACTGAAAATACAATGAAAATCGTATAATGTGAAGTTCATAAATGTGTTTATATTGGGCATCGGGGACAGGACGCCTTGCGCCATCACTTAGTAGCCTGCTTAGCGGCTCTAGGGGAGGGGGGAGGTTTAGCAAGGGCCTGCAAGCACGGGCCACAAAATCGTGTTTTCCTCACCCAACCCCCTCGTCTTCCGTTTTCTCCCTCCCCTCCCTAGAGCCGCTACGCATGCTTAGGAAGTGATCGAACACCACGATAGATTGATGGGCAACTGGGAATCACCGCCTGGTGTATACATATGTAAATTCATTTACACGACTGCTAAAGTCGATGCTAAAGCGATAATATTGATTTATGTTATTATATCGCTAAAGAAAAATATGCGACGGGAGCTGGAAGCGTAAAAGTTTTTTTGTTTGGCGGACCGCAGTGACAGAGCACATGATTTCTTCTTGTTTCTTCTATTACCTTCTGAGCGATTTTTCTGAGCAAGTTTCAGGGGACGTCTATTTCATTCCGGGCTTCCTTTGCTGCAGGAATTCTCCGTTGGGCTTCCTGTGGTAAAACCTTTTTTCACTGACCAAAATGCTCGTAGACTCAGAAAAACAATCAACATGTGCAATCTTCGAATGTAAAACTTTATAAAAGCTGTATATAGACTGTTGTAATCCAATTCGAAATATATATACTAGATTATTGAACCCATAGGTAAGGATAACCATGGCCAAGACAAGTAAAAGAAGTACGGCTAAAAAGGCTCCAAAACCAAGTAAATCGTCAAGCAGCATGAATCCAGGTGAGTAACTATAAAGCCACGTTTTCGTCAAAAACAGTTGATACTATTATCGCCGAGTTTATTGACTTTGCTTATCTTCTATCAGTGGTAGTATTTCGKAAGGGGCAATCTTCACTCTATTTGCATTTTTAAGATCTCTTTTAAGCTTAAAAGTTCAAAATCCTGAGCAGGATCCTGCATAGGAATTGTAGGATCTTACACAGGATCACATTCTTAATGTAAGTTCCTAAAGGCCGAATTAGACGTCACAACTTTTGCCTACAACCATCGCATGCAACCTGCGTAAGTCATCCTGCGCTGCATAGGAATTGTAGGATCTTACACAGGATCACTTTCTTAATGTAAGATTGGACGTCACAACTTTTGCCTACAACCGTCACATTCAACCTGCGTAAGTCATCCTTACAACATGGCTACAACTGTCGCAGGGATTTTAAACAATTGCTCAATAGCTCCACAACAGTTGTAGCCATGTTGTAAGGATGACTTACGCAGGTTGACTGTGACGGTTGTAGGCAAAAGTTGTGTCGTCTAAATCGGTATTAAGTAGGAATAGGATCCTGAACAGATTGGTAGGATCTTGAATAGGATCTTATACAGGAGACTGACGAGATTCTGGTTAAGATTGTCTCAAAATCCTACTAGTAGGATCCTAGCCAGGATTTGCACCAGCTGGGTAATATTTCATGTTATACCGCTCAAAGTAGGAAGAACAATGATGGAGTGATCAGTATTTTACAAACCTTTCCCTAAAYCTTTTTTGTATTAAAAGTATGTTGTCATTATAAGGTACACATCTTGGTATTGCACACTATAGCTAAACATTTCTGTACAACAGCTTAATGATAGAAATGTTTTGTAGATCGGCCAAAACCAAGTCCAAATTCAAACATGAGAGACAAAAGTACAATCATGAGACTGAAAATGTACAAATCAGGTGGCAAAGCAATCAGGTATACAATTATACTTGGTGAACAATCATTACTTT